GGAGGAAGGAGGATAGGTATAACTTCCACCACCAACAGAGAGGCTACCATGTCCTGAAGATGTGAATTACCCAGAGGATTGGAGGAAGGAGGATAGGTATAACTTCCACCACCAACAGAGAGGCTACCATGTCCTGAAGATGTGAATTACCCAGAGGATTGGAGGAAGGAGGATAGGTATAACTTCCACCACCAACAGAGAGGCTACCATGTCCTGAAGATGTGAATTACCCAGAGGATTGGAGGAAGGAGGATAGGTATAACTTCCACCACCAACAGGGAGGCTACCATGTCCTGAAGATGTGAATTACCCAGAGGATTGGAGGAAGGAGGATAGGGGAGAATATAAGGAAGAAGAGGAGGTGGAGTACAAAAATTGCAGGGAAAGGACCTGCAAAAGAACTCGCACAACCCAAGGATTGCTGATGAAGGGAGTCCACAAATGTGCAAAGCAGAAGAGGCGGGCATTGATTGGCCCAGATCCAAGTTTCAGTGCCAAACACAATCACTGCCAAGAGCTCTTATAATCTGCCCTGTGGGAAGAGGGATGATGAACAGAAGTGATTGAATCAGGAACAGGAGAGGAATTAGCCCATCATGACCACTGAGGATGGGTCGCTGACTGGAGGTATCCATAGTCAAGTGAGTAAGGAAGCCAGGAAGACGATGATGAGCAGCTTCATCCTGAGATTCCAAAGAGTTGGGTACACCCTTAAAGATGATTTCTAAGAAAAGAAGTAAGACAAAAATCATGGAGATATGAGAAAGGAAGGTGGACACCAAAAAAAACACTCTGTGACAGAGAAGACCCCAAAAACAGAATCCAAGTCAAAACAGAGTCAGTGGAGGAATAACAGAAACCAAGGTTGGAATCAAAGAATAATGGGTGTTCCCTAAAAAATTATCAAACAGCCTTGGTGAGAAGGTGAAGGGTAGATGTAGAGAAGGAGTTATGCAAAGGTATGATGTAGATGAGTAGATTGCTGCAAAGAAAGAAACAAAAGAGGAGCACCCCAAGTTGACAGGGGGGATTCAAGAGACTAAGGTTCAAGAAATATATATGGGTCAAAACCACAGGCCATAGAAAATGAGTCATGAAGATAAGGAGGACAAGGAGAAATTGGGAGAGAAAGATATCAGCATGGACATGAATATCTGGGAAAGGAGGGAGAAAGTCAGAAGATGGAGGCTCATGAAGTAAAGGAACCTGAGAGTCATCATGATTTACCTAGTAGGAGGAGGTACCTGTTCTTCATCAGGGAGAGAAGAACCATAAGTGAAGGCTGGAGGTAGGAAAAGCTTATCAAAATTGTCCAAAAGCGAGGCAGTCTCCACAGAAAATAATGAAACAGAATGACGAGGGACCTGAACTGGAGAAGAAGTAGGCATAAAAGAATCAGTAACCTGATACAGTATAGTGTTAACTTCTTGAACAGATAATATGCCTGCAGTTGTCATTGGTACAGTTATAAACAATTCCTGAAGAGGATCACCTGTGCCTCAAGATATTGAAGAAACATAGATTTGAGAATTCATGATAAATCAGCATAGAAAGAATAAACATGGTAGCTACTTAAAAATTTAAATTACAGTCAGGTAGAGGGATCACAATGGCTTTTAATATATGCTGGAAATTCCTCAGCAGTTGCTTGCAAAGTAATATCTGTTAGTAGTGCAGAGGGGTAAGTAATGTTTTTGAATGATAATTCTCACATAATTTAGATTGTACATAAAAGTAAATAAATTAAGTTATTAAACATATTTTTTTGTACTGGAACATTTGAGACAAGTGCATAAAAGTTAAACCAACTTCTAGTTCATTACATACACTTAAAATTTTGTGTTTATATAACCAGTGCATATTTTCTTGTTTTTATACTTTAAATAATGTTCATATTTTTTAACAAAAATTTAAACTTTACACAATATGCTATATTTGATAGTATGCCTTGAATTATTTCAACCTTACCGTTATGTATAAAAGCTTGCATCCTTACCCTCAAATATGAAAGTTTGCAACGATACCATCAAGTGTGTTTGCAACCTCATCAACGTGAATAAGAGTTGCCTTTTATTTTTAGGTATGTTTCAAGTAAAAGTTCAAAACAAAAAAGGAAATAATTGGATTTTTGTTTAATTTTGCATGAACACTTAATCTGTTACATTTTCCAAATTTTGAAATAGTATTTTACAGTAACTTCATTCTCATCACTCTCCTTTCAGCATATAAACTGCAGCTACCAGAATGTCCACCTGATTTAGTCATTAGAAAGCTTTCCAGTGGTTGTCCAATGCTTGATCAGTTTTTACGAGGTGGATTATTGATGAGAGGTGTGACAGAAATAGCTGGTGAAAGTGCCAGTGGGAAAACCCAGTTTTGTCTTCAGTTGTCACTACAAGCTCAGCTTCCAGAGTACATTGGTGGCCTTAATGCAGGCGAGTTGATATAAGAACAGTTATAAATAGGTTGATTCTATAGTGAGTATCTGTTAATCTTAGCTTCAGAAATTAAAAAGAATATTATTGTACATCAAGATTGCCCTGTACAAAATAGAAGGATGGGATTAAATGATAGATTTGTTTTTAAATAAGTATTATTAGAAGGCATACAAGTAAAACTAAATAAATGGTTGTTCAGTAAGTATGAATCTGGTAGTGGAATAACTAAGGCAACTGTGTGGTACAAACCTTGAAACTGATGTGAAGTACAGTACAACATCTTAGTTGGGCAATGAAATGATTACTTAGATTTACTCTTCAGTTTTTTTATTATGGCATGGAGCCCAATTTTCTCAGTTGTACATGCATCAACTTGTTTTGTAGGAACACACCTAATAATATTTATTAGCTCACTAGATTTAGTTGTATTAGCTTTTTGCATAAACTTAGTTTTGTAAGAACACACCTAATAAGAGTTAGCCCACTTGATTTGAGTTGTATCATTTTGTGTATAAACTTTTTTTTGTAGGAACACACCTAATAAGAGTTAGCCCACTTGATTTGAGTTGTATCATTTTGTGTATAAACCTTTTTTTTTGTAGGAACACACCTAATAAGAGTTAGCCCACTTGATTTGAGTTGCCTCATTTTGTGCATCAACTTGTTTTGTAGGAACACACTTAATAAGAGTTAGCCCACTTGATTTAGTTGTCACTTTTGTGCATGTACACGTGAAGGCGTTTGAACTTTCCAATTCTTGTATAACTTGCTAAACAAAGTCTTGTATGTGATGGAGATTTTTCACTAGTTTTTTACTGACTTTTTTCTTTGCTTTTACTGAATGATCTATAGCTGTAGCTTACATCTGTACAGAAGATAGTTTTCCAAGTAAAAGACTTCAGCAATTGATTCAAGGAATTAAAAAAAACAAGCCACATGAAGCATCTAAGATCAACTTTAGTGATCAAATATACATTAGTCAAATTGGTGATGTGGTAAGAGGTTTTATTGTGACCTTTTTTTTTTAAACATTTTTGTAACTTATATTTTAAAAAACTTAAAAGAAATCTAGAGTAAACAGTTGTATTTACTTTCAAAAATTGCAGACATGCGGTTGTTGCCATCAAGGTGTAACAAAGTAGATATCTTTACAAAAGTTTGGTTATAACTAGAATCTACAGATAGCTAACACAGATTTCTGCATTCAGTTATTATTAGTAACTTTTTAAATTTTTTCCATATTTGACTAATATTTTTAATATTAACCAAATTCAGTTTATATTACTTTTAGTCTCTTTTCATTTTTATAGGAAAGTATGTGGAAATGTGTGAAAGTAACATTACCAAACCTTCTCAGGTTAAAGAAAGTAAAGCTTATTATTATTGACTCAGTGGCAGCTCTCTTTCGCTGTGAATATGATCTGAATCAGATTGCTCAGCGTGCACATGACCTCCAAACACTTGGTCATCTTCTTCACAAAATAGCACTGGACTTTGGAGCTGTTGTGATCTGCATAAATCAGGTATACAGTTCATTTTGACTAGATAAATACCAAATATTAGTTTATTGCTTACAAGTAGAAAAGTCAAACAAGGTTCTTAAAAATATAACTTATTTCAGTAAAACTATTTTTAATAAAACAAGTATATTTTAGATAGTTGTTGAGTCTTAAGTTATGTATGTTCACTGTTTACAATATATTTTTTACTAGGGCTCTTACAATTACAGAAATATTTAATCAATTAATTAGTACCTTGTAATCAAATTGTAATTGATTAATTGCCTTCCAAGGGGATCTAGTCCAGTTGAGAATATAATGTGTTTACTCACAGTCTTGTATTATGCGAATATTTGCATTCCTTTTTGCAATAAAAAAAACACGAAAAATGTAGTTTTAACAATGGTTTTAATAGAATTGCTATGCTTAACATACTGTAGCATAATGCCATAGTTTAGGAAAATTACATAAAAACAAAATTTATAATATTTGACAACCAAAAAATTAAAACATAAAACCACCTGGTGTGTTAGAAATTTGCTTGAGTATTGAATCGCTACTGATTAATTGTGGCTGCCTAATTTCATGCTATACTTTATTTTTGAGATAAGTTTTGTAGACAAAAGGTAAGTAAAAGACTGTTTTCAAAAATTAACCACATTAGTTTAGGAACCAAAATATTTCATGAAATAAAAGTTTTAGTAACTCTCATGAGAAATACTGTAATTTGCATGAATATGATGTATATGCCTTTAAATAATTTATTACTTATTTTTTTATACCAACAATTCAATTTTCATATGTTAATAAGCTAGCTAACATGAATATAAATTTGTCAAATACGGGAAGTATTTTTTTCCACTGTATTATAACTGGCAGTTACAGTTGAATGTGTAACCAAGTAATATTTATTTATGTATTTGATGTTTTTTTAACTCTAAATGAATATTGAGAAATTTTCAAATATAATATTATTTGCTAATCTTTTACACTATTTGGTCTAAACTATTTTTTTCTTGTTCCATATAATGATTAATGTTGTTTCACCACATTATTCATACCTTCAGTAAACTTTCACAAGTTTTCTTCAGATTTTACAGTATGAGAATATATGTATATTACTGTAGTTACCTCATTTCAGGTGTTATTATCATTGATAAATATCTCCAAACAAACAGAGAAAACATTCTGTTAATTATTAAGTGAGACAGAAAATAGTGGTTTCAAGTGCATTAAAAGTAATCAAGTATGTTTTAAAACATTATTACACAATACTTGTCATATTACAGGTATCAGCAGTGGTAGACCAAGGAGGCAGGTCCAACGTACAGGAGAAAATAGTGCCATCCCTGGGACTGGCATGGTCAAACTTAGTGACAACGAGGGTGATGCTGTCTCGTACATCATATGTTTATAAAGAAACCACCACACAGTTGAAAGTGTATCTTCCTGTTCGAAAACTCCAAGTTTTATATGCTCCTAATCTTCCACCAAACCATACATATTTTGTAGTTACTCCTGATTGCGTGAGAGGAATATCATTGGATGAAAACTGCTCTTGAAATCTTTCCTTCTTACTGTTTTTCTATCTTCAAACATGAGACTTTTTATTAAATATTTGTTATTGAAATGCTTTAAGTTTTTTTTATAATAGTTTATCATACTAACACATTAAACAACATTACTCATCACACTTAAAAAAAAAAATTATGTATGATATTTTGATATTGTGGGCAGTTGCTATATAACTATATAGCAGTATGTGAATGAAGTTAATTCTATTATAACTGTAGTATACCTTGATCATTGTGAAATTGTAAGGCTGTTGTTTAATTGGACTTTGTGTTAAGAAAATAGGTCTTCTTGTTGGGAAAGTATGTACAAAAAAAAACATGTCAAGAGTACTTTTATTGAAATGAAACTGGTGCACAAAAATAAATAATGACAGATTGTTGTATACATATACAAACTAATTTACATTTCCTTCTACTATGTATACCCAATGTAATTGTCTCTACAAAGAAAAATTCAACATCTGACCAGCAGAGGGAACATCCATTACCAGCAGACAATGGGAGGTAATGACAAGTTATCCTATTAGAATAACTATCTCGGGGTCCACTTGCAGATGACCTAGGTGTGATGTGTTGTATAGACTGGTCATTCTAAGTAGGACAGTGTTGAAGTCACGTGCAGGCAAATAATAAAATGTCACTAAAGGTGAATATCATGGTTCTTCAGTGCAGTCTTGATATGTGGTATAACAGTCCTCCCCACTTCGTCCTTTCCTGGAGGCATTATAACTGTCCTCAAAAGGTGTTGCTTTCTGGTTTTCCAAGGCATAACTTGCAGCATAACTAAAGTAGAAATGAAATAATGAACAAACATTAATTTTTTGCGTGTTTATATAAACATAGAACTTGCACGATGACAGCTTTATTTCTGGCAAGAAATCTGTTTTATCTTTCATCATTTCGATTTTTTTTATTCAGGTACATAATAAACAATGAGGCTGAATAGTGTATAGGTAAAATGAAACTGAAGGTTCACGAAATAGATAAAGGTTTACCTTTGCTTTTAAAACATGACAGAAACGTTATTACAAAACCTCCAAAAACATTATCCAAATATTAAATTGCCTAATATGGAAAAACTAAAACAATCATGGAATATTAAAATAAGTTAAAAGTGTTAATGTGAACATCCGTGCATTTATGAATGCCATTTGATTTGGATACAGCTATAAATTGTATAAAAAATAATTTGTGAACTAGAAAATAAACAGCACTATTGCAGACGAGCTCGTAGTCAGGCCTAGAAGGGGGGGGGGGCGTTTTAGTCCGAAGTGGAACTCGTTTCATGTGTAACTTTAGTGCCCAGGGACGAAAAAAATCCCGAAATATCTAATGGTCCCTTTCTTATCACTGCAAATAAACATTTTAGTAAATTTCCTCTGATGATATGAAAATACTATTCCCCACATATATGCACAGTGTTACAAAAGCAATTATATAATGAGGGGCCATTATCAAAGGAAGAAAAATATATAAATGTTAATAGACAAGCGCGCACCCCCCCCCCCCGAACCTCCCCTGGCTACGGGCTTGCTGTATATAACAATTAAATTGTAGAAAACTGTACCACCATCGTTGACCTTTAAAGGCATTAGGAAACGATATTGTAGTTTCAATAAGTGTATAATCTAGTGGTATTTATAACAGTTTTGTGGGAATCCAATAATAATGTTGTCATTTATCACTAAAACGCTTAGGAAGGCATTGTTCATTTTATTTTACCGAAAGTTATTTACAGTAACGAAGCAAAAATATCATTAATGTATTCAAATAATTTAATTTCTTGCACACCAAATAACGGAAAAGGGCCCCATAAAAATTTCAATATTCGTATTGCAATGTTTTGTAGAATTGTTGTTTTTAAACCAGTCTCTACTTTTTTATTACTTCCTGTAAAACTGAACTGAGTGAGATTAAAGGCCACAGAAATCGAGCACTAAGCCTGCGCTAGTTGTAAGCCCCATATATAGCAAGTATACAAGGGTTGGTTTGGTTTGTTTTTAATTTCGTGCAAAGCTACACGAGGGCTATCTGCGCTAACCGTCCCTAATTTAGCAGTGTAAGACTAGAGGGAAGGCTGCTAGTCATCACCACCCACCGCCAACTCTTGGGCTACTCTTTTATCAAGGAATAGTGAGATTGAGCGTTACATTATAACGCCCCCACGGCTAAAATGGCGAGCATGTTTGGTGTGACGGGGATTCGAACCCGCGACACGCAGATTGCGAGTCGAGCGCCCTAACTACTTGGCCAAATATACAAGATTCTTCCTCGTTGTCATAGTTAGTAGCTTATACGATCACCTTCAACTAATTACTAAAGTTATTGGTCTTAGTTTTTAAAACTGATATAGGATCGTGTCCAACGGAAAGACAGATCCGCCCTGGTGAGATCTCTCGCCACCCCCTGTCCGAGATGTCAGAATTAATTCTCCAGATTTTAAAATTCCGTCTAAAGTGCGATTTAACTCGCATAAGTGTTACATTTTTCTCCACCCCCCACCCCCTACATAAAAAACAAACAAACAACAACACAGAAACGCTATTGCCCTGGTAATTTCGTGGTCTAGTGTTTATCTGTTTTAAATGTAACTGTTGTTGCAAGAAGAATTATGAATCTGTTTATTTTTTCTTTATAAGTTAAGTTACTATCAGCTGAAGTTTAAACTTAAAGGTGTAAAATCAGCAATGCCAGCCTCGTTAAAACACCGTCTGTTAAAGATGTGTTTATGATGAAATTAGGGTTATTAATATTCAGGGTGGCCTTGTAACTTACCCTCCGATCTGAGCCATTAAGTAGCCAATCTCTTTGCTTTCACCGACGGCCTTCTTGCTTGCTTCGCATAAGTACCTCTGCATACACTGCTCGTCTTTAGTGAGGATGGACTTCACGTAACCCTGCAGCATAATTGCTCCAGCCAGCCCTGCATCTCCCATGGTTCCTTGCAATCCTCGTGCACGGGCACGCTGGCTGAAGGTCGATTGTAACATATCTAGTAAACTCACTAGAATATTTAATATTTGCCGCGAGGTGGCTGCACTTTCATCATTACTTCCAAAGAACAGTTTGACGATTGTGTGAATGATGTTCTTGGTAGAAAGGAACTGACTAACATCATTCTTTTGCTTGTCGTACTTGGAAGAAAATTTTTCCTTACTATAACGAGCGTTTCGAGCCGTTTCCGCGATGGTTTCTGTTTCGCTTTTGGTCTTTTCTATGTTTCTTTGATCGTTCTCTGGACTGGGCAACGTATTGGCTGAGGCTAGGACGAGTATCAGGAAGAAGAGAGTTATCTTCATGTTTACACCTGGAAAAAGAACCACAAAAACATAGAAAAAGGTGTAAAGCCATTATGTACGAGGTTACAATTTATATATATATATACACAAACATGTGTTGTGTGTATAATGTGATTATAAGCAACCGTACGAATCTTATAACTATATAATTAGCAGATCATAATAGTTAAACTTAACATTTTTTTACCGATAGCAGATAGGTTTTTATCAACATGGCTTTACAGAAGCATTCTTTCACTTTAATTTAAAGAACAAACTTATGCCTAAAACTTCAAGAATGCGATGATGATATTAGATTTGACACACGTCTTTCCTGAGTTAGTAGCATAGAGAATATAAAAACTTTTGAAGTGTCACTTACAAAAAAATAGAGGATGTTGGTGAGGCAAGGAGTATGAACTGTCAGCTTTATAAACGACGTGTGGTATACATTAAATTTCAACATGCAGGCTTTGTATAACCACCATAAACTGGTGTTGGAGTTTAGCATTTCAGAATTTCGCGCTTATCAAACGTGATATAATGTTTCTGGAGTCTTAGCGTAGATATGTTCAGTCTTTTTGTTGTTGTTTGTTCTGCATGGTACGTTTTGCATGAAATCTCCTACTTATAAGTATTTCTATGGTAGAATGAATATTAAAAATCCACACACCAGATAATAAAACAGAAAACCACTAGCAGCATCCTGTTGCGTGTCGTTCTCGCTCATCCTTAACATTGACCTACTTCTAGGAGTTCAATATCCTCAAGAAGAAAACATCGTAGCGTGGAAGACACACATGGCAAAAAGGGCGCGCTTTGTTTGTTTATTCTTAGAGGTCACCTATATCCGTAGAACAATAGCATAGCCTAATTTTGGTCGCATCCTGGGTCTAGATGTGGTAACTTAATTGAAAACCAGTTTTTATGAAGAAATTTTATCTTGTAATGGACCAATAAATCACGTGACCTGTAATAAAATTCCCAAGTATTTCATGTAACATAATAGTTAATGTCAGCAGAATGTACTCATATTTTCACATTATACCTGACGAGAAAATGCTACCGCTTTAAAATTTTGATAAAAAATGAATATCACATTTTACCTCAGAATTTGATCCCCCCTCCCCCTTTTTATATTGTATAACATTTCATGGGAACGCTTTATGTATTAGTAGTGGATCTGGAAACTAAAATGTGGGATTACTGACACCTAGCGGCTTTATGTATTGAAAAGCATACTATTTCAAAGAGGATATGTAATTTGTCCGCCTGATCTTTCGTTTATTTTCTAAAGGCACCGTCTATATGTGAAACAGATGACTAGGTTCAGTTAACAAACCAAGTTTTAACGCGCACAAAACTTTCAAAATTAGACAGTTTGTGAATTATCGTAGACAGTATAAATGATTTTAACGTGTCTTTTTCTTGTAAGATTTTCATGTTTTTTAAATGTTTCGATAGTTAAAATAATATATAATATACATATCTATAAATTAAGACTTCTCCATAAGATATTTTGAGTACTAAATTTAAAAATTTAAAAAAAAGTCTTACTTTATTCAGAACCACTATCATGTTTAAGAAATTTATGCATATTATGATTTTTTCTCTAAAATGATATAACATTACACTGATCTACATACACAAGCATATGCGTGAAAATAATTCTTTGTAGTGTAAAAGGAAAATGTAATAAGCCCAATTCTAGTGACTTATGTCACGTATAAAATAATGTTCTTTATATTGTTAGGATTCTTTCTGTTTGCTACTTGGCGGCTCAGATGTATGTCTAAGAGATTACAACTCTAAAAATTGGTTTGAAAGCCGCGGTAGGCAAATACAGATAGCCTATAGTGTAGATTTGTCCTTAACATCAAATAAAGAATAATTCTGGTTAATTAACTTCCATTACTTACTGAATAAACACGCTGACTTTAAATATAGAAGAAGATCACGTGTATACAGTATATCTTTGAAAGCTTCTTTTTGAACAACAAATTATTTTATTAAATGCATGGTCTGCCTCTAGTTTTCAATTAACTTAAAGAAAATTAATGGGGGGGGGGAATTCATTTAACTGCATTAAAAAAAGACACTGGTTGAAAAAATCTATTAATTTTGTACGGGATTTTAAACAAACTTTTCATCTGAACTGCTGTTTTTGAAAATACATTATAATTAAAAACACGGGAAACTTTGAATTATTGTGTGTATCAAACAAGTTCCGAGTATGGTTAATGAACTCCAAACATATTTTAACCAAATAATTGATTAAGTAAACTTTTAAAGTCTCATATTTTGTAAAATTTCTTCGATCATGTTGACCCTACACATAATATCTGACGATCTTACCTTTGTTTCGATCGTACTTCAGCCCACAATCCCCACCACAAACCGGAATGCAGCATTCAAAATTGTATTTAGGAATAACATCTTCACTCCTTTTATACAAAGGCTGGAGAGAGGTCATGAGACCTCCAGTGGCCCGTGCAGGCGCGCGTGTGGAGTGGCAACCTATTACCGCTTGTCCGTGGCCTACTATTGATGAGAACAAGAAAATCACTACCACAAGGCGTAGACATCGGAACCCAAACCCGGAACTACAAGCATCTTCTGTGACGTCAGCAACAAGAGAAATGGGCGTAACTTAACTAGGAGGGTAGGTCAAGCGGACAAGCGTGCAGGTAGCGCTGCTTCAAACTGGGCCACAAAGCAAATAAGAGGCCGTTTGTGGGGATCATCTTAAGGTTATAATTTAAACTTATACTTAAAAAAAACATCTTATAAAGTGACATTAAATGGTTGCTGAATATCTCAAATACAAAATTATAAATATATATCAGCTGTGAAGAATTCACAGTGAGTTTATATGTAACTCGTATTAATAATTTGTTCCTTTAAAAATTATTCAAGTGTCGCCCTCCTCAGAAAGATAACTAGAGCGAGCCTAAACTTATATTTCTCCTGTACACAGGAATTTACAGTTTGCACATTTTTCTGACGCTCCCTAAGTAATCTGCAATTTGAATTCTACAGTTCACATATTTTCTCTGATCTTCCCACATAACCAACTTAAGATAATATTTGAGGACAACATTAACAGTAATAACATTTTATAAACTCTTGAAAAAATTGTTTTACAGTTTTCGTGCAAAACTGCACATTGTCGTCTCTAATTTTGAACTAATTGACTAGAAGGAAGACAGCTAGTCAATAGCACCCACCGTCAGTCTTGGGACTACTCTCATTTGAAGGAATAGTGGGATTTGACTGTTACCATTATAGCGCACTGATGGCCATAAAGTGCGGAGCGTCTTTTTGCGGCAAGTTCCCGCTATACAAAGAACTCTCGGATTCACAATCCGAACACAATAACCTCTAGGCCACACCCGCCCTATTCATGAAAGAGAGAAACCGATACACAAGAAATTGTTTTTAAAAAAATAGCATAAGTTATTGTATTTGAAATAAACAGCGACAGTAAATTCGTCAATGTTACCATACTTTTTTAATTTTTAATATAGACTTAGGATATAATCCAAGCATATATTTTTCTCAAAATAGCTATTAAATAGCCTAGTAGCTTTTCCAGTACGTCAAATTAATAGGCAGAAAATGTTCCAGAGATCATGAAATCGTAAGATACCCCAATGTATGTTGTGACGGATTTATCATTATATAATTATTTCAGTATCCACGTTTGTTTAAATTAAATTTATATTTAGAAACACACATAGCTTATACTGTTAAATATGTATTGCGAAAATCCCGCCTATTCTCTAAAGTTGTAGAAGATTCTCAAGTGTAAGATTCAACAATATATGTATGTACGTAAACGCTTAATGTAACTTTGCATTGTTACGTTATCTGAATTTTCGAGAAACTCTCCACACGCCTATAAATATAACCAACGCGACGCGCCAAAAAACAGTATCTATTATTGGTTTGCTGTAATTGGTATGCTAAAAATTTCGTAAGCTATAACTGTGTTTAACGCTTATTTATCGGGACACTTCAGATATTTGACC